AAAAAAAAAAAGTCATGGGTAAATAGCCTCATAATGCAATTGTATACCATCATGCTTTATTAAAATGCTTCCTTTCACTTGCTGCCCATTTATCATTGAGAAGCAAATTCTCTTCTAAACAGTGTTTTTAAGAGTACAGTAAGTTGAAGCAGTTCAGTCATGGGCTCCAGACATAGATTTGTGTGTTGACTCGAAGCCCTTATAACCTGTGATGCAGGACAAATTACTGAAGCCCACATCTCAGTTTCTTCATGTGTAGAATGCAAAGAGTGGATGAATATAGGACAGTTGTCAACAGCAAGGAGATTTGTGCAGTACCTGGCCCATAACATATTCTCATGTTCTCACTTAAGGTCACAGCTCTTATATATATATTTTAAGACAGAGAGAGCACGTGCGCGCACACAGGCAGGGGGAGGAAAAGAAGGAGAGGGAGAGAGAGAATTTCAAGTCAACTCCCTGCTGAGTGTGGAGCGTGATGCGGGGCTTGATCCCATGACCCTGAGATCATGACCTGAGCCGAAATCAAGCGACGCTCAACCAATTGAGCCACCCAGGTGCCCCTGCTCTTGCTATTTTTAATACAAAGTCACTAGAGGATTTACTTGTTGGAAATTTGTCTAGGTTCAATCTCTGGTTATAGTTTATATTCCTAGACAGCAGAATGCTATTCAAAGTTGCAGTATCAGAAGCTTCAAGGTTGACATTTAGAATTCCTGGGAGATAGAAATGTTCATCTGTGAATCCCAAAGGTAGGAGGGGACTTTAAAACTTGTGAATTGTAAAGATCCCGCACAAAAGGTAATTGCCCAGACTATGAGCACTTTGAGGACAGGCCTGTGTCTTATGCATCTGGTTCTTTCACTTAGATCTTCAGTGCTAAGCACACTGTCATCACTCTGTACATGTTCAACTGGAGGTAAATGGAGGCACGAATTAATTCACCAAAGCTCTAAAAGAGCAGGTCCTATGGGCTCCACATAGGGCACCTCTTGCTTTCAATAGGATGCTTAAGGGGAATTTGGGTGCAGTGGTTAAGAAGATCATGGACTCTGCAAATAGACTGCTTGAGTATGAATCAATCCGGATTCCATCATTTTCTAGCTGTGTGACTGGGGCAGTTACCTACCTTCTCTGTGCTTCAGATTCCTCATATATGAACTTCCTCACATAGAACAGTCATACCAAGACTTTGGCAATTAGAACAGTGCCAAGTGCAAAAGAAGCACTATGCAAGTGTTAATTATGGTCAAGTTCAAGCTGCACCACACGCCACACAGGGCAGGGAATGGAAGATTTTCTTTCAACAATCTAAGCAAATGCAAGGCACACAGACCTATTTTTCCTTTTCTTTTTTCCTATTCCTATTTTCTTTTCCATTTCCCTATCCTTTCCTTCATGTCCCGAATCCTTGCCTTTTACAGAAAGGCAAGTTTTCTTGGTATTCCTAAACTAAGGTGACTTTTCTTGCAATAAAGAATTGTAGCCCTTTATGAGTCCAACTGAATGAGACACTCTGGCTTTTGCTGCCAAATGACTGTAGCAGACCTGGGAATACAGACTGTGTTTTCTTCATCCAACTGGATGTCACTGGAACACTGTCCTGTGTGGACATTCACGGTCACTTGTTCACTCCCTCAGTAAACATTTGTTGACCACCTGTTAGATGTGCTGGGCTATTGTGAAAAGCTAGGCAAACAAAGTGGAGTAAACAGATACCATATTTGCCCTCATGGAGCTTAAAGTCTAGCGGTAGGTGGTTGGGGGCGTATAACAACAGCAAAAAATGAGCAGCCCCGTTATAGTTGTTAAAAGCCAAAGTAGCAGATGCATAAGTCACTGTGGAAACACAGAGAAAAAAACCACCTAACTGGCCTTGGGTGAATAAGAAGGCTTCCCCACACAGGGGCATGTCTAATGGTTCAGATTTAGCCAGACCAAGGTAGAAAAGGAAAAAGGGAATATCTTCTAAGCAAAGAGAACAGTGTAAAGGACCAAGGGATGGAAACAGTGATAGAGATGGAGAGAGAGACAGAGACAGAAGATCGGGGCCCCAGAAGGATTTGTGTATGGCTGGACCTTTGCTATGGACCAAAGAAACAAGTGGGATCCTGGAGAAGCAGGTAAGGGCCAGATCCTCGGGGCCCTCATGGCAAGTTCTGGATTCTGGACGTTATGTTAGAGATAATGTGGTGCTATTAATTTGTTGTGGAGAGGGAGAGTGATACATCTGTAATTAAAGCATAAATTAAGTTTTTTATTTTATTTTTTTTTTAATTTTTGTTTTTATTTATTTATTTTTTAAAGATTTTATTTATTTGACAGAGAGAGACACAGCGAAAGAGGGAACACAAGCAGGGGGAGTGGGAGAGGGAGAAGCAGGCTTCCCGCCGAGCAGGAGCCCGATGCAGGGCTCGATCCCAGGACCCTGGGATCATGAGCTGAGCCAAAGGCAGACGCTTAATGACTGAGCCACCCAGGCGCCCTGTAAGTAAGTTTTTTACAAAGCAAATCCCAGATATCATTTCACATGTAAATACCTCAGTATATATCCCTAACAGAAAAGGCCTTTAAAAAAAAATCCTTAATTCAAAGACCATTTTTATACCTTGCAAAATGAACATGAACTCCTTTTGTTATATCATTCCTGATCCATATTAAAATCTCCCCAGCCGTCAGCAAAGTGTCCTTTCTTCCACACTTGGTGTCCTTGAATCCGATCCAAAAAAGGATCATTTTACTATTTCTTAAGTAACTTTTTATTTTATAGCAGTCCTTGCCTCTCCCTACATTGTTTTCCTTTTATGTCATGGTATTGTTCGAGTAACTCAATAAATCATTTGACCTGGAGGATTCCCTTACTTCAGACTGGAGAAAGCAGATCACTTGCTTGTTTATGGTTTCATTTAATTTATAACAAACTCTTTATGCATTTAGGAATTAAGAAAGCATTTCAAGGAATTTATACAGTTGTCATTTTATCCAACCATGTACACGAGCCTCTAAAGTAAGTGCTGATTCTCGCGACACCCTGAACATAGCCAGTCATCAAGCTTCTCCACTTGGCTCTTTCCTTTGTCTCTCTCCCTACCATTTACCAGGTTTCGACACAAGGGGGCCAGAACACACTCAGTGTTGCTCTTCTGCCAGTCCCCAGGTTGGGCTTTCTGAATGTGACTGCAGTGAGCCACCACTGAATTACACAATCAGTTCCGGACAACTGGTGTGTATGCAGCCAGGGAAGAGCGCATAAAAAGAGCCAGGCGCCATTTTACCACCTCTCAACGAAACCCTTCTTTACAGCTGTCCCAGCTTGGGAGGGATTGTTTGGATAATGTAATCCAGAAAGTGTTCCATTTTTTAACAGACTACAAAGCAAGAATTATCCACCCACCCCAGATCAGTGTGTAGACTTTTCTTTTGTGTGTTCTCATTCTATAGGGGTTGTATTACCCTGAAAAAAAAAGATACTTATTAGGTATTCAGTAACACAAAGTCATATGCAAAGAGAATGTCCTTCAACCCTACCCGGGTCTTTAGGTGTGAAGTCAGACACTGAGATGGTTTGAATGTTAGTTTGATATATTACCTTTTCTGCCAGGGACAGCACAGTGCTGGCCTGAATTATGGCCACTTGTTCTTCATTTCTTAAGTTCTGCCAAAAGACAGGGAGGGAGAGAGAGAGAGAGAAAGAAAATAAGCTGAAGACAGTTACGATATTTGCACTATCTGCCTAACAGCCTGCCATAGATATTACTGCAGGTGCATGTACGTAACGTAACAGATGTTCTATTCTACTTAGTTCAGATGTTCTATTCTACAATTCTGAACAAAAAGTTCATTCGAAACATGTAAAAGGACATTAAATGTGATTTTTTTTTTTTATATATCTCTAATACTGACTTGCTTTTGTGTTTCACTGTGAGCATACTTAGCTAATAGTCAGGTTATGAGAAAAGCAGAAACCAAAATGAAATAACAAGTAATCTTTTCATAGTGGTTTGATGTGATTTAATTGATTCTCTTCTCTCCTTTGATGATTTTTCAAGGCAAAAAATGGGTGACTCCTCCAACTTATATGCATCATTTCCATAGTATCTCAATGAATGTTCCTCCCACTGAATTAATATGCCTTGACCCTGCCTGGAAGGTGTTTTTAGAAAAAAAAGAGATTATAGTTTCCTGGTCCATTTTTATGGGGCTGCCACCAACCCTACTATTTAGCAGCAGTTGCAACTGCATGACTGATTAATTTCATGCTAGATGGCTCCAGGCAACAGAGAGAAGGTAATTAGCTTTAATCACTGCAGATGTGGTCGGCATTCAAACGTGAAACCAGCCCATGAAAAGCACTTCACCAGTTCCCGTTTCTGCCTTCTAGAGATCCTTACAACCCCTCAACCAACTTGTTTGATAAATGATTGATTCTCTTCAAGGAGCTACATCCTTAAGTGAACGTGGCTTCTCACTTGCTATTATTTTACACATGATGCCCTGGCAAGTATTTCTTGCCCCTCTTTGGGCAAATTCATATATTTACTGCCCTTAATCAATTCATTACTTACCCCATTATCACCCAGGATATCAAGCTGCTTTATGAGATCAGGGATGTTCACATCCTGCAACATCAAGGAGACACATTCAAATCAAAGACACAAAGGCGGCTTACTATTCTATCACTGCTTGACCCGTAACTTTGAGAAGACATTTTAAGACCCATACTTCCTTGGGTTGTTTTCAATCAGGCACACGTGGTTTTATGTTTTCACCCTGCTTCTTCCAAGTTGCGTGAACCTGGGCAGACTACTTAACAGTTCATTCTCAATTTCACCAGTTGCAAAATACCTCCTTCATAGGCTGATCTTAAGGATAAAGGGATGGTATGTGAAAGAGTCTAGGATATAGTAAGGACTTGGAATTCTTTCATTAAAGTTTTTTCTTATTAATTGACAATTTTTTTGAATTATGATAAATTGTAGGTATAAAGAAAAGTAACAAGTAATAAATATAATCAACTAATTTCATTCTAATTAATGGAATTCTGACCTGGTTGAGATTTTGATTGCCACATAGAAAACTAGAGTACCTTCTATTTTTTAGCATTAATTTCATGCTATGGAAAATAGCTCATTTTAACTATATTTCTTGAGTCAGTTTGAAGCAGCTGAACTCCATTTGAAAAAGTTCCCCTGCATATAAATTTCATCCACCAGAGTAGGTTGTTTGTGATTTATCTAAGAAAAGTATCTAAGGAAAAGACAAAGTAGAAGTCCTTTTCATTTAATTAGAGCTGAATAAAAAAAGAAACCCAACAAACTGCTCTGGTTTACAAATTTTGGGGCAGCCCAGGAAGGACAGAAGTTTAAACACCCTGAAAGAGGTTTAGGATGGAAAACAAGGAAGCGCAATTTTACTACCTAATTTTCCTCCCACTTTTTACTTCATTAGTACACCTCTCTTCTCTTACTCACAACCAGACCCCTACCACCGGGAAGGGGGAGGTCTAGCTCAGTTTCACAGGTAGAGAGAAGGCAACGAAAGCAGGTATTATCTGGCAGCTCAGAGTGGGAGCAGGGAGGGCCATGCACAAGGTCAAGGAGAGACCAGGAACAGCAGGAGGCTTCCCAGCTTTCCCTGCGGGATAGAGACCCACCATGTGATTGCATTACGTTGAAGGACAATATATTTTCCAGGAGATGGGGCCACCTCCATTCAACCTTAATGTTTAAAATGGATCCCAATATCCCTAAAGACAGAATTACATTTTATCTAAATGAACAACATGTTAGAAATCATAAGTCCTTCCAAAAGAGAAATCTTCCCTAAATTAAACGTATCAAAAGAGATGGTGGGCTAGATGATTTTAAGGTCTCTTCCACCGCCAAAATTCCAAGATTATGAATCCCACAGCGCTTAAGACAGCATAACAAAGGGACTCGACAAATATTTTTTTATCTGCTATACTTGAAATGTGCTTCTCAAAGTACTGATATTTTATTATTTAATATTTCCCCTAGATAATTAAGGGTAATTATCTTAATATTTTGAATCTGTATCTTCTTTACCCTACTCTGTTCTAAATAATCATGATTTCCTGTGTTCTCTGCTGTTACCATTCATACATCTGTCACACATCTTTTTTTAAATTTTTTTAAAAAAATTATGTTAAGTAGGCTCCAACGCCCAACATGGGGCTCAAACTCACGACCCTGAGATCAAGAGTGGCATGCCCTACTAACTGAGCCAGCCTGGCACCTAGATGCGACTCTTTTCAGTTGCTACATAGTTGGTATCAAAATAACATCCAGTGACTGAAAAACAAAAGTGATCAATAACCTCCCCTTTTCCAATTCCCAGTTTCTCTACTTTTTACAAACATAAAAAATTGAGTATCTGCCTACCTTGACACCTTCTTTCATACAGTAGATCTGTAGAGCACTCACACCATCAGAGAATGGGTGAATTTGTAGATTAAATGGAGGGGATCGTCTCTCTCTTTCCTTGAAATACAGTGAAGAATATATGGGAATTAAAAAAAAAAAAAGCAACAACTGATTAAACACTAAACCAGTTGTCTGTGCTCTCTCTTTATGCTATTGCAGTAGTTTATCAATGTCACGTGGCCAAAAAAAAAGAAACACAAGATGTTCATGCTTAAATTTAATGGAAAAGAACTGACTGATCAACTAAGAGGTATGGTAGGAGAATTTACAGATGGTGTCATTCAGTCTTGCAAATTTTTTGGTCAGAGAAATGTTGGAAGTGAAGTTCCCATTTAAACTATATGAATATTTAGAACTTTCAGGTGTCACAGAGAATGGTCTTTTGATCATGAAGTCTTATGGCTGCTAACGGCCTTTTGCATATTCAATCCACTCAAGTTTTACGATGAAGATATGTGAGCTACTAAAGAGGACTTCGCTCTTCCTCACTGAGGAACACCAACTGCTAACTCTATCCAGATCTAATTTGAAAAAACCTCAAAAAGAAACCCCTGGCAAAATAACAGAGCTATCAAATGGGAATTTTCTTATCTTTCGTATCCATATACATTCAGTCAGATTCTAAGCCAGATTCTTTTTTAAAAAAATATTTATTTGAGTAATCTCTACCCCCAATGTGGGGCTAGAACTCATGATCCACCGATCAAGAGTTGCACACTCTTCTGACTGAGCCACCCAGGCGCCCCAAAGAAGTCAGGCTTTTTCATTTTTATTTTTCTTAGAGAGGGAAAGGGAGTGGGGAGGGTCAGAGAGACAGAGAATCTTAAGCAGGCTCCACCCCCAGTGTGAAGCCCAACATGGGGCTCGATGTCAAACCTGAGATCATGACCTGAGCCGAAATCAAGAGTAGGACTCTTAACTGACTGAGCCATCAGGCACCCCTGTTTTTTTTTTTAATTATTTTTTTAAGTAATCTCTACACCCAACATGGGGTTTGGACTCATGACCCTGAGATCAAGAGTCACATGCTCTACTGACCGAGCCAGCCAGGTGCCCCACCCCTGGCCAGATTCCGTGTGATACAATTAAGATCTGATTGGACTGATATGTTTTACTTAAAAAAAAAAAAAAGACTGAAATTTGGTCAGGTTAACCAAGGTATTTCCTAAAACAAGTTACCTTGCTTCTTAGCCTTTTGCGTAAGTGCACTATAGATTTAAAAAGTTTACTCATGAATTCAAGTGTATAACAAAATATTTTTGTATATAGCACAATTTGAAATATAATTCTTGAGGTAACATTTTTATGAGTCAGAATTCAATGAAGGATGGAAATGATTATTTTAAAGCTATGAAATATTGATGAAGTTTGAAATCTATTATGTAAATTATTTAAAAATTATTCATTCTTGTTCTTAAAGGCAATGGTGTCGAAAAGTACAGTATCTGAGCAGACAATTTTTTTTTTTCTGAGCAGACAATTCTGACTTGCATCAGTGCTTTATCACTTATGGTCCCAGGTTTTGGGCAAGTTATTCAAGCTCAGTTGCCTCATCTCTAAAATCTTGATTATGGTTGTGAGGGTGAATGAGAGTAGGCATCTGAAATGCTTAATTTAGCACCTCACACATAGGATGTGTTCAGTGCATGTTAATTGTTACAATTATTTTTATTATCATTATTATCATCATTTCCTTACTTCTAGCTCTAGGTTTCGAAACTCCAGCAGCTCATTCTGGTCTCGGGCATCCTGTAGTTCCTGTTGTAACCGGTGATTTTCTGCCTCCTGTTTTTCTATCTAATAAAGTAAATCCTCAAGTTAGGTGAACATTGCAAAAACCGTCTACAATTTAGCAAAGCAAGCATGGAGAGCACTCATTTAGCTGGTGAATAAATCATCCAGGCCGTGAAAAAAAAAATCCCAAGTAGATGTGAGTAAAATAAGTCTTGGGCTTTCTTTCTAGTTATCCTTTGGTTGACTTTTTTGTGTCATAGAGGAAAATCCTATAAGACACCTGCATTCATTGAGATAACATCTGGGGAGCCTCTGAGTAGTGAATCTGAGAGTACTGTGGGTCAGGGACGGTGTCCTGGCTCTGCCTTCAATGGTGTACATAGTGGAGACCGACACCTCTCGTTTCTGGAGTTACAAATGGTCAGAAAAATTTTATATAGATAGCGCTGATCATATACAAAACTTTACTGCGTTCCAGTTACCCACAGAATAAAGCCAAACTCGTCAATATGGAATTCAAAAACCTTCATACTCTGGTCAGCACCTAGCTTTCTGGCCTTAAATATTCTCACGGTCATCTCTGCACACGCACACACTCACATGTGATCACACGCACACAAGAATCTAGAATGCCCCATCTACCCTGTGGACTGACTGCCAGGAGCTGTGTCTTTGTTCATCTTTCTGCCTAAAAGGGGTTCCCTCCATTTCCTTTTCTATATGAGGAACTGCTACTCTTCCTTGAACACAGAACTCTAACATTCCCTACCAAAAGAGGCTTCCTTTGTCTACCCATTTAGAAGTGACACCTTTTCCCTGTATTTTCCTGTAAGATTTCTCCTATAACCTGATAAAGCGTGGAATTAAGTTAGTTGTGTAAAACATGCCTCACCCTATAAGACAGGCCCATGTCTACAAGGGATCAAAACATTTTCATGATCTGTAATAGGTTTGGGGCTGCCTTGGGATTTTAGCTGTGTGGGTGGGCCTCACACACAGGAACTATTTAAAATCTTGAATTTAGAAACAAAAACCCAGGGGCTTTTTATCATAGGATGACTCTTACTTTCCCAAGTATACCCACTTGAAGTAGGATGTTTAGCTTTATTGTCACTGTGGTTTTCTTTTAATCATAGAAGCTTGAGCCCCTTAATTCCCCATTTATTCCAAAGAAATCAAGACTGAAAGAAAGCAGATAGAAGATGTAATGGGAATTAGTTTTTAGGTGTAAAGAAATGTAATAACACTTAATACTGGGCATCTCTAAGACTACTAAAAACCTCTTTTTCTCATAGTCTCAGGATATAGAAAAATTATAGGAAAATAAAGATGGGGAAATAGTGAAATATTAGTGACATTAATCAATGCAGTCAAATTTTTTTACACATAGATTTAGATTTACATTCAGATATTTGTGGTCACATGAACTTTCAAAAGTTTTAAGAAATTGACTTAGATCCCAAAGAGATTCTACCTAGAATCTTGAATGTGGATCCAAGATGGGATATTTGGGGAGATTTCTGGTTTTGGCAGTTAACACTGGCAATTAGGTCAGTGGCTCACAGGTTGCAATTCACAGACCAGGACCAATGTGTGATGAAGTTTCTTTATAGGGACCCCCCGCCTCTCTGAGAGTACCAGGTCTCAATCCTGGAAAACCCACCCGCCCTCTATACATATGCACTGTCTCTTGTCATTCAGAAAGCGAGGTAGGCTAAGGACTTTGCTAGACCAGAGGGGAGGGAGGATAAAGCATCTTCTTTCCCTTCTCGTGCTTCCAAAAGTGTTGTGGTTAATTTTTGACTTGCCAAGGCTACTGAATATTGGTAGAAATAATCCTAAAATAATTTCTACATAACAATTGGATGAACCTACAGAATTATTTCCCTTATTCAAATGGGCTTTCAAAGTCTGTTTTTTCCCCAAGCATGATTTATTTTGTAATCTTTTCACTAGATTTATGGAAGGTAAACACTAAAGACAAAACCACCTTAAACTTAAAATGATCTCTGTGTGTATTTCATTGTCTCAATCAAAAGCCTATGTTCAGATAACCAAATTAATTATATCTATTGAGCCTACACCATGCTTTTGCATTCTTGATTTGTTGAGCAACCTCCGGAACATGCTGTTTTGTGCCTTGGATGCATCTTTTAAAATGTTCTCCCCTTAAAAAAAAAGTGTACATATATGTATATATATATCTGTATATAAATAGCCAAGATCAGCAAAACGATTAAAAGTGAGAACAGTCTATGCTAGGTTGCAGCGTGGTCTTGGAGTCATAGTCTGTCACTGCCTTGCACAAAATAACAAGTCCTATTCGTAGTGTGCTTTTAGTAGATGGCCAACCACATAGGATGTGTGCACGTGTGGGTGTGTGTGTATATATATATATATGTACAGCACACAGACAGTATATATATATATACGGTAAACAAATCAGTAGGCATCAGGGGTCACAACCTCTCGAGTCAGCACAACACCAGCACAGAGCCATGCACACGGGCCACTAACTGATGGTGATGGCGGTGACAGGGATGCAGTTGAGCACGCAGCAGGGGAGAGCGCAGCGCCGGAAAAGCCTCCCCTTCCCCGAGCCCCTGTGCCACTCCTGAGGGGACCCCCTGCTGCTCCTGGATCTCTCATCATTTTCTCCTCTGCCCCACTAGGGTGTTGCGCCCAACATACCTTTTCTAAAAGCTCCTGGTTTCTCTTAATGAAAAGTTGTTTATCTTCTACCCAGTGTGAGTCCTGTTTGACAAAGAATATTGCGCAGTCAGCATTTCGGAGTGGCACGGGAGAGCCTGTGTCGACAAACCACTTGGCCAGAGCTGTCTCCTCTCACCCAGTTTGTTGGCCGGCCGGTGGCTGGTAAATGACACCCACCCCTTGTCATCCGCTCCTTCTTCAAAAGACATCGGGGCCAAAGTTGCCAGGAAAATTTCACCCCCTTCTCATTGACACTCACTAAGCTCTAACTTTTTCAGTCTGAATAATCCAGGACCAGCCTTCCGGGGACTCAGAAGTGACCACACAGGCAAAAAGTGAAAAGGGTCAGAATGCACACAGGCTAGATACATATGGATGGAAAACATTAAAATGCAGAACCATAAATGTAGCATAGAGGCAAAGAATGCAGCTGGAGGGGCGGGTCTTTGTCTCAGCAGCTTGTGACCACTCTAGGCTATTTGTACAGGGCTCCTCTTCATCTGCCATTCTCTCTTGCCCAACCTCATTCGTGTTGTAGCAGGGGGTTCACGCTCTGGCCAGAAAAACACCAGGGACAGAAACACCGAGTTGAACATTCTGACAGAGTTTGAGAAAGGTCACTGTGGAGAGCCAAGCTGTGTCCCGGGTGCGGCCCATGCACAGGGGCTGGAGGACGGTCGGACGGGATTGTGTGCATCTGCAGAAGAGCCAGCAACCCGATGCCTACCTGCCCTTTCTGAGCCAGGGTCGCTTCCAGATCTTCAATTTTGGCTTTATACCTTAGCACCTCTGCTTGGAGCTGTTCTTGAGCCTAATGAAATCAAAATTCCAGAACTCAGTAAGTAAAATGGTAACTCAGTATTTTTCCTTCCCTTATGTTCCTTGATCAGAACTCAACAAGGGAGAAAAAAAAATTTTTTTTTCTATGATCAAAGGACCTTTTAAAACTTTTTAGGATCGAAATTCTTGCCTAAAACTTTTCGTGGTTCCCTTTACCATCAGGTTAAAATTCAAAGTCTTTAGGTGAGATGTGAGAACTCCCATTATATTTGCAATCTTTTCCACACTACTCATCAACAAAGTTCACCCCTGATCTGCTGGTGATCTCCTTATTTCCTAAATATGCCTTGTAACCCTCCCCACTTCTCTCTTATTTGAATAAATTCCTCTTCTGGAAATCCTTCTCCCATTTTGCCTCTCCCAAAACTTGCCATTCTTTCAGAGCCAACTTTGCCCTAAATCTAAATCTAGATCCAGATGTATGTATGTATGTATGTATGTATAAATGATGTGTATGTGTGTCGGGGGGTGAGTGTGTGTATCAGCATTTTTGGACACTGATCTTCTATGGAGCAACCTTACTTCATTTGTTTTCAGATTCTCTTGTATTCTCCCTACATAGGACCTTATTTTCTGTGAAAAATTAGTGGGTTTTTTGCTTTTTGCCCATACACATATTTTTTACTTATCTTAAGATCTCGATAGGTTCTTTAGTGTAATGTGGAATAAAGTCAGCAATGGCAGGTATCCTTTCTTTTTCTTCTTTCCTTCCTTCCTTCCTTTTTCTTTTTTTAGAGGGAGAGAGGGTGGGGAGGGGCAAAGGGAGAGGGAGAGAGAGAACCTCAAACAGACTCCCTACTGAGAAGCCCAATGCAGGGCTCAATTTTACAACCCTGACAACATGAACTGAGCCGAAATCAAGAGTTGGATGCTTAACTGACTGAGCCACCCAGGCACCCCCCCTCCCAGTTCTTCCTTTCTTAAAAGTAATCTCTACACCCAACATGGGACTCAAACTCACAACCCTGAGATCAAGAATTGCATGCTCTGACTGAGCCAGCCAGGTGCTCCTCCCTTTCTTATTCTTCATTGGGAGGAGAATATGTCTTTGGACTGTTGAAGATTATATTTACCTTTATTAGATTAAAAAAAAAAACCCAAGCTTAATTTCACTGAGAATTATTTTAACTTTAAATGAGCATTGAGTACAATCTATTTTTTTCTTGTATCAAAATGATTACATCTTTTGTTTTCATGATACTCATTCATCTATATTATCTATTTTTGCATTTCTTTTTTTAAAAAATATTTTACTTATTTATTTAAAGAGATAGTGAGCATGCAAGCGAGAGTGGGTGAGGGCAGAGGAAGAGAGAATCTCAAGCAGACTCAGTGCTGAGCGCAGAGCCCGATGCCGGGCTTGATCTCATGACCCTGAGATCATGACCTGAGCCGAAATGAGAGTTGGATGCTTAACCAACTGAACCACCCAGGCGCCCCTATTTTTGCATTTCTACTTTCTCTCAATTTACTCTATTGCCCTTTTTCTAACATCTTGATTTGTTTCAGACTATTTTGCTGAGAATGGTTAAGGTTTTTTGACTTTCATAGCTAGAGATAACGCTAAACCTTTATTTAGAGGTGAGGGTGAAATGAGAGAAAGAACTGGTTTCTACATCATCACCTCTTCAAAAAACAAGATGTATGCCATTATCTTAATTAACCAATCCTATGTTTCATGAGAATGCTTAGTACATGCTAATCATGAAAACCACAACTATGATGTATTAAGGCATAAACACGAAGGGACACACATACATCCCTTTCCAATGACTGCCTGCCTATCTATTCCAAATCACAGTGGGTTTTTTTTAATGTTTATTCATTTATGTATAAACATGTGCATGTATGTATGTTACAATTTAAAAATACACAACTATAATATCTATCCTGTCCCACTAAACAACTAAAAGTAGTTCTTACAACACTGCTCAGCATACTACAGACCCTCTAAACTGGAAGTAGGATAAAATCACTGGGTGGGCACACTCCTTCTTGCCCCATGTAAATTATAAATCTATGAAGCAGTTATGGCATGGTGGTTAGGACTGTGAACTCAGAAACACTAGGTTCATATCCTAGCTTTCATCTAACTGAGCTGTATATCCTGGTTTCAACCTAGCCAATCTACATTTAACTCCTACAAAGCTATTATCTCCTCTCCTATAAAAAGGACATAGCTAAGAATAGCATCTAACTCATAGGGTTGTTTTAGGATTGCATGAGATGATGTATGTAAAGCGCTTACAATGATGTCTGCAACACAGCAAGGACTCACTAAATTTTAAGTATTAGTATTGTATGTGTGTAGCTTTTTTTTTTTTAATGAGCTTATGACAGGCAATTGTGATGTAATGGAAAGAACATGTGACCCAGTAAGATTTTAGGTGGAATCCAAGTTTTCCATGAATTAGCTATGTGATCTTGGGCAATTCAATTAACCTCTCAGAGCCTTGAACTCTTTTATAAAATACCTGCCTTAGGGTGCTGTCATAAAAATTAAATGAGATATTGTCAGTGAAAATTCTTTGGAAGCTATCAATGTAATGTTGTGCACTTATTAACTAAGAAAAGAAAGTGGCTAACCACAAAAGTATTTTTTCCAAGCAAGAAGCTAAAAAAAATGGATTATCAAGATTCAATATTGTCTAGCTTTGAAAAATAAAAGTTTTCAAGTAGCCAGAATAAGAACTACTGTCTTCAAAGGAACAAAAGCATTGATCTAAGTTGGTTCTAATGTCTCTAGATCCAAGGTTTGTTGACATAAAAGATAAAACAGTTCAAAAGCCACAGTGGAGAGAAGGATACAGGGGAAGCTATCCTACTGATATTTTTATGTCCGTGGTACTTTTATGTTGTGACTGCTGCAGGCCAATTCAGAGCACTCTCCCCAGACGTGTACCGACCTTGGCTTCCCTTTCAGCATCGATGATACCTCCAGTCTGCTCCTGCAGGAGGGCATATGCTCTTTGGAGGGCCTGATATTCTTTTGTTAATTGTCGAAATCGTAGCTCAGATTCTTCAGCTGCTAAACTCTTGAGGTTACAAAAAAGGCCAAAAAATAATTAGGTTATGTTCGGATCCTGTGTTCAACGTGAAATACTAACATTTGTCCACTTTATAAAGAGAAGTAAATATATGTTTGATACTGGATTGGGAGTGATTTTATTCTTTTTGTGGGGAGAGGGGGAGAGGGAGAGGGAGAGAGAGAATCCCAAGCAGGCTCCATGCCCACTGCAGAGCCCGAGATGGGGCTTGATCTCACGACCCTGAGATCATGACCTGAGCCGAAATCAAGAGGCAGACACTTAACCAACTGAGCCACCCAGGCACCCCGTGATTTTATTCTTAATTTTAAAGTATGTACATAGACACAAATACTGTAGTACTTTAAGATCAACATTGCAGAAATACTTAATGTTTATTAATAAGAGGCATTTGCTTATTTATACATTTCTGATGATTGCTCTTTTGGCTTAGATTACAGTCAATTTTGGGTCCAGATGAGAACTTACAGCTAGCTTTTGGATTCAAATGGGAGGAAATGATAGTTTTATTCTCAATTCTTTTCAACACATTCATATGCAACAATTTCTTCCAGAGATAAACTATAAAAATACAGTTTTACAGCTTTAGGTCTCAAACTTCAGAGCATGATATAATCACCAGGGAGCTTTGTAAAAAATGCAGATTTGGGGGTTCTACCCACAGGATCCTGACTCAGGAGTTGTGTAGTAGAGTCCAGGAATTTTCACTGTGATTGAACCCCCCTAGATGATTCTGACAATGGTAGTCTAGAGAGCACACTTTGCTAAACCCTGTCCTCAACTGTATCTAGAAGCTTGTTCTTCTAAGCTTGTTTCTTGGTTCCCACCTTCCCTAGATGGAGAATTGGGGAGAGTGACTTTTAGTTTGAAAAAAGTCTTCAAGTTACAGAACAGGATTTTAGACAAGTTGTTAAAAGGGTTGCATGACACCGGCGAAGCTATTTTCCAAGAGGTAACAAAGTCAAAATGGATCACTATTATGTGATCATTTTGGGCAGTTCAGAAAGGATGTAAGAAGTACAACGCTTTCTCTCCACTTTAAAGCAAAGGTTTGGTGACAATATCACAAAAGACTAGAGAAGTGGAAAAGCTTACTTCGTCCAAGTCATCATCAGGAGTAGCTGGTGTTCGGTCTGTTCTAAATGAGGCCATGGATGATGTCTCTGAATCCATGGAGTCCTCATCATAGCCAATAAATGGGTCCAAAACAGGCCTCTAGGGGTGGGAAAGTACATATTTACTGACACAAGTAGGAGTGGGGAAAGTCAACATATTACCAAGGTACCATCAACTGGCATATGTGCAAATGGACACAGAAGACAGGGGTCCTTTAGTGCTTCTTGGAGGAAATAAAAACTTCGGGCATGAACACAATAATTCCAATAAAAGTGCGTCCCACTTTGTTTCACTTCTGATGTTGCTGAGGAATATTCACTAACATTTGGCTCTCCTCATAGAAACATTGGAGCCTCTTAATATATTACATTTTATATCATGACGAGTTTATGTGACTTATCTTTCCAGTATTTAAAATATAATCAAGACAGACTTAAAGTCCAGGCACCTATCTGGGATTATCAAATTGTAAGTCTTATCCTCCAATCCAATATCTAAATCAAATAATGTACTTGATAAAAACAAAATCAAACAAATAGACAAATTAACAAAACTTCATGGATTATAAGAGGCTATACTGATATGGGTGGACTGAGAGTACCATTATTAATAATCATTATCAGTAATCGTATCCAAGTATATAATGGAATAATAAAATCAAACTACTACCAATAATACTGTCCAGGAGAATAATAAAAATACACGAATAATTATAGGGTGGGTATGAGACACTAATATTATTCACTGGAAGGCATTAAATCATGTGTATCTCTTGCATGTTCTTAGAGTTTGACTCTCCAGCTTGTCAGATAATGCTTTCCACCCCAAACCTAGTGCCTATTCACGCAGGTAAAGTCATATTAAAGCAAACCTTAAAGGTTAAAATCCATAACGCAATCATTTTTGGACTTCTAAGAACTACCACGGGAAGAGATTTTCTTCTAGCAAATAAAGCCCATGGTTTGCTGCAGTTTAGGAACATCTGATTTATCACATCTTTGCAGGCAGATTCTTGGCAGCCTCATTTCTCTCACAGGGTTTGTGGCAAAAGCCTGATAACCTAGTTTTCCCGTTACCTTAATTGGCTTGGAACTTCTTCTGTGTTTTCTCCTACGGATGAGCTTTTCTCGGTCCTGGAAAACAGACGAAGAACTTTTCAGATGTTGAGTTGGTACATGTTTTCCTCTAGGTTTTGTGTTGTGCTTTTTTTTTTTTCCTCAATGACAGAGTTGGTTTTCACCCGAGGCATTATGTATTTCTATTTAAAATAAGATTGTGTTTTGTAATTTTGGTAATTTTTAGGTTTGCTACTTACATATCTTTTTAAAGATTTTATTTATTTATTTGAAAGAGAGAGAGAGCATGAGCAGGGGGAGGAGCAGAAGGGGAGGAAGACGGAGTGGAATGAATCTCAAACAGACTTCACACTGGGTGTGTGGGGCTTGATCTCATGATGCTGAGAGCATGAACTGAGCGGAAACCAAGAGTTGGACTTTCTCAAACAGACTTCACACTGGGTGTGCGGGGCTTGATCTCATGACGCTGAGATCATGAACTGAGTGGAAACCAAGAGTTGGACGCTTAACCAATGGAGCCACCCAGGTGCCATTACATATTTTTAAAGTAAAAATACACTACAACTTTTCCTGATAATCTATGTGGATCTGAGAGCCTCCCAATCAGGAAGTACACCGTCTTCCTCATCAGAATCCTTTATTATACTTGAAGATCAAGTAGCTCTGAAAATACTCATATTTTCCCAAAGCACAATTTTTCAGTTTTCTCAAACCCAAAATTACTTTATATTTAAGTATTGAAAAAATACGACTTTGCATAAACCTTATTCTTTTCATTTAATCACTTGAAAGTCATAGCAAGCTGTCTTCTGACTATTCTTAGACCCTTGTTCTCACCTGCAGCCTCTGAAGATGGGAACAGAGTGTCTACTGGGTTGGAATCATCTATTGGGCTTTTTTCGGGGGGAGGGGAATCAATTTCTTGATTCTTTTTTTTTTGTGGATGGAGATATCCTGGGAATTTGGTGTTCATTAACTAAGTACTCCACATATTTACTGTACAAATTCAAAGGTAGATTAAATAAGTGGCACTTAGTTTCCCTGAAAGTCTGGATGATATGTCTCAACATGTCAAATTCTTATAAGAAACTTTTATCTTAAGTTCAGATACTCAAAGTCAAGAAAAGTCTTGGCCGAGTGAATCTGGGATTTACTAGTAATTAAGGTTGTGGATGTGAAGTAAGAGGCACACTGCACCAGAAGGCCATGTTTAATATGTTGTCTGGTTTATGCCAATGATGTTAACCTTTAGGATTTCTCAACTTGTAAAAATATTTTGATCATATGACCTCAATATATCTGAAACTTCGAAAATTTATACTTAGATTACCCTCCTAATACAGTATATGCATTATAACATATACTCAACGTAGACAATTTTAAAAGGATAAACCACAAATAGTTATAACCAGACGTTATCATCTTTTCTCCCCTCAATAGCACTAAATCATCTTGCTCACCCTTCCTTGGAGACACTTGCCTAACCCCCCCCACCCCTCCCATTGCTAGTTCCTCAACTCCCCAGCCCTTGGCTTGCTCCTCAAGTGAGAGCAACCAGAGATAACAATCATGGAATAAAGACAGTGAGGCAAAGAGGAAACCCAAAGGCATGTGAAGGTCTTAGGCCACTGCTGTTGGTAAAACAAGCCTTGACCAGATGCAAATGGAAGTAATAACTGCTCTAAGGCACTGAGGTCATGGTCAGAAGATCGGGACTGAAATTTCCACTCTGTCATGTAATTACGATGTCACTGTTCATTCAACAAATATTTATTAAACTGCACTATGTGCTAGATACTGAATTAAATGTTGGGAAATAAGAGGCATATGGTCTTGTTATTGTTGGCCAAATATTTAATCTCTGAGCCTCAGAATCTTGATACTGGAAGGCAATTATAAGGTACACCCAGACTATATACCTACTCACATAATGATGCATTTGGAAGTTCTTTTAGGGTGTTTTGCAGCCACTATTTGTGTTATCAAATTAGTTAAGAGGATTCTAATTGAAAATGTATAAAACAGTTTAATAATATGAAGTATTTTTGGAATAGAGTCTCTTCAACTTACTTATATATTGAATATATAAACTCGGGCTTTTGGGGCTAATCTGAAATTATTAAGTGCTTCCAGTGCATGTTGATTTCTCAGTGACTTGCCCTTGGGAACAGCTTAGAGTTTATAGAATGATCAAGACCTACCCTTGTGAGCTCATCAATAATGTTCTGCTGCTCAATGACTTGAAGTTTTAAAAACTCTGTCTCTTGTTCTTCATTAGCTTGATCGAGGTCATTCAGAGATTTTAATTTCTTTAAGGGTGGATGGGATGTTATTTTTTCTCTCTGGATTGGAAAAGAAGAAAGTATAGGTAGAGATTTTAAAAATCCTAAACTTTAGCAGTTCACATAGAAACTTTATGAGGCTCCAACTAAATTTGAAAATTGCTCAGCTTCATAGATGCACCAACCAAAACCCTCAAGTTTATTTTATCTTCTACGAGTCAAAATCACTGGGGATGTCTGAAGATCTTGACAGCTGTGTTGTAAGTCTGTTAAGGAGTGCATGAGCTTATCACTGTCCATACATAATACAAGTGGTGGCATCTATTTCTCAACTATTATGCAATGTCTCAGAAGATAAGAGGTACCCATTGTACAGTTCTATGAAGAGCATGTTAGTGAAATTCTTGGAAGGAAGTTTCTGTGACTGAGTTTGCTTCTCTACTGGGGAGATTTTGGAAAGTGTGCAGATTCCTGGAAGCAGTCCTACCGTTCTGCAAATTTAGAAACCCCTTAAAATTCAGAGCCATCAATTTTCTCTTGCTTTCTTCCTTTAAGGTTCCTTGCTTCCACAGGGAAAAAAACACCAATTTTCATGAATAGCATTGTATTTTAAAAATGAACTGAGAAAGAGTAGTAAGTCAGGTTAGTGGAGTTGGAAGGACGGAAGCTGCAGCTTTGCAGAGTCTGTGATACACACCATTTCTGAATTTTCCTTGGTAACGGCTTTTAGCTTCTCTTCCATGCGCTGCAAAGACACCATCAGCTCATCGTTCCTCTTGGTGAGGCACTTGTTCCTTTCCAGAAGAGGTTTACATTGTTTCTCGGTTTCCCGCACCCGTTTTAACTGGGAAGACAGAAGTTACAATTTGTCTCTTGTGCTGGAGTGGATGTGGGAGCAGAGGGAGTGAATGGGCAGGGGTGAAACCCATCCGGGGCCGCCTTGGTTGGCCTCACTGTGTGTCCCGGAACTGACCATGTCCATCCTTCATTTAATAGCCCGACTGCTTTGTTTTCAGTTTCCTCGAACGGTTTGCCATCATCATAGTATTCACAACTCTGTATCAAGTATTACCTTCAAGGAGGTGCTGCCAAGGTTCTGATTTTGGAAATGCTCGGCAAGAGCAATTGCACGCCTTGCTTGCCCCTTGATTTCCTCCAGCCTGGGTACCCTGCTACACTGAGCCCCAACCTCGTGCTGCTCATACCTCTCCCTGGGCCTGCAGTGACCCCTCACTGGCTCAGAGAGATAAAGCAGCTCATATGAATCACCAGTCACTAAGGAGTGCAACCAGGACTCAAACCCAAGCCTGATTATCGGCAAAGCCTGTTCTTCCATAAGAGATGTTGCTAAGATTCCTGAAACCACACTAAGACTGTTCATTTTTATTTATTCATTTTTTTTACATTTATTTTTTGGTAATCTCTACACCCAATGTGGGGCTCAAACTCACAACCCTGAGATCAAGAGTCTCATGCTCTTCTGACTAAGCCAGCCAGGTGCCCCAAGGATGTTTATTTTTAAGAAAATGTTATTGAGAAAAAAAACATACTCTCAAAACTCTATTGATATTTGTGTTTAAGAACATTTAATTCTCACCGAGCTTAGGAAAAGTATGATTATATTCTTACCTGCCCATAATTAAGAGTGACCATATTCTGGTTTGCTAGTCTAAGGCAAGGTTTCTCAACCCCAGCACTCTAGACATTTTGGGCTAGATACTTTTTGTCATGAGGAGATGTCCTGCATTGTAGAATGTTTAACAGCATCCCTGGCCTCTGCCCACTAGATGCTGGTAACATCCTCCCAGTTGTGACAATCAAAAACATCTCCAGACACTGCCAAAATTGCTTCCAGCTGAGAAACACTGGTCTAATTTTATGAATGCTATCTTGGGGTAATTGTTAATAATCCCCCCTTTTGCTCTCAAAACTCCCATCTGGATGACATATTTTATGGTCCCTCTAAACATAACAGATTTCCATGTTAAAGTTCCCATGCTTAGTTCAGTGACTTTATACTAATGTTTCTGAATGAGTATGTATTGGGGGAGGGGTATTGAAGCAAGGAAAGTGGTGGAGTCTATCAGAACCATCTGACAAGATAAAGTACTCACTCCTATTTTTGAGAATCTAACACTTTAGGAAGTGCTGGGGTAGGAGACTTAGCTACCTATAAATATTTGAAACAGCTACTTGTGGGATTCTAAAACAGTACTCCCCAACTGTATCCTAACTGCCATTTGAAAACTCATTTTATATCAAAGGCCAAAATTTTTCATAACTTCATTTAATCCTCAGATTTGAGTTTCAGTGTCTGAAGAAATCATATTAAATATGAAGCACATACAAGGACAAATAAGTTATTCCACTAGGTTCACTATTTTAAACTTCGTCTCTTTTCTGAAGGTCAATGACAAGGGTTTTAAACAGTTAAATTTACCTAGTAGATGCTACTTATGGAAGATGCAGAAAAACACAAGTAAAAGGAGATATCGGTAATTCTACCATACCATACATCAGTAACCTTAGATGTAAAGTACCTAAAAAAAACTGTTCCTTTTAAAAGATATAGCTTAAGTATTATAAAGGAAGTGTGAAAGTCAACATAGATATTCATGAAACCACCAAAAGAAAAAATCTGACATAGTGTAACTAACATCAGACCAAGACTTTAAATCAAGAAGTATTACTAAAGATAAAAAAAATTCATGATGCAAACATTTAACAAATCTTAATTTATATGTACCTAGTAACATAACTTCAAATATATATAAAGCAAACTTGATAAAACTAAGAATAGATATGGACAAATCTGTTGGGAGATTATACAAAACAGTATAAAGATATAGGAGATTTTAAACAAAACTATTAATGAACTTGATTCAAAACACATGCAATGACTGCACAACAGACCTTCTTTTTATGAGAACATGGAATGTTTCTAAAATTGACAGTATGCTACCATCATAAAGTAAATTTCAATAAATTTTAAAGAATGAAATGATACAAAGTATTCCTGACTAACGTAACACTGTGTGTCAATTGTACTTCAACTTAAAAAAAAAAAAGAATACGAAGTATATTCTCTGACTATAATGGAATTAAGGTAGAAATCAATAGCAGAGAGATAACTCAAAAATCCCCAAATGTTTAGAAGTTAAGCCTTATGGTGCTAAGTAACCCATTGGTCAAAGAAGAAATCATATATTAGGAAAGATTTTGAAATAGCAATACATTATGACATAAAAGAATGTATGGGATGAAGCTAGTCATGCTTAGAGATATTTATGACCTAAAATGTATATATTTGGAAAAAAACAAAATGCTGAAAATAACTTCTTTGTACCAAGAGCCACCATGAAGAATGTAAAATGTAAGGCACAGAGCAAGATTTTTTTTCTAAGATTTATTTATTTGAGAGAGAGCATGTGTGAAAAAGCATGGGGGAAGAGCAGAGGGAGAAGGAGAGAGAAAATCCCAGACAGACTCCATGCCGAGCATGGAGCCTGATAAAGGACTCAATCTCATGACCCTGAGATCACGACCTGAGCCGAGACAAAGAGTCGGTCACTTAACCAACTGTGCCACCCAGGTGACCCCAGAGCAGGAGATTTTAAATACAAATATCCAAAAATGATGCAAAGAATTCCTAATATTGATAAGAAAATAAAGGCAGCACAAAAGAAAATTTTACAAAAGACCTATGTCTCATGCTCTTCAATGAAGACATGAAGCAATTTTGGCAGTATCTGGAGATGTTTTTGATTGTCACAACTGGGAGGATGTTACCAGCATCTAGTGGGCAGAGGCCAGGGATGCTGTTAAACATTCTACAATGCAGGACATCTCCTCATGACAAAAAGTATCTAGCCCAAAATGTCTAGAGTGCTGGGGTTGAGAAACCTTGCCTTAGACTAACTAGCAAACCAGAATATGGTCACTCTTAATTTTACGAAAGACCTATGTCTTTCGTAGGTCAGATCCCACAAGGACACCCAAAAGGCCAAAAGATTTTTGAAAATTCATTCAATCTCATTATTAAGGAAAGTAAAAATCAATGTCCACAATAGCCAAACTGTGGAAAGAGCCAAGATGTCCATCGACAGATGACTGGATAAAGAAGATGTGGTATATATATACAATGGA